GCTCACACACAGCGGTTTGGGAGGGAAGGCTGCTCGAACAGCCGCGCACGGGCAGTGCCAGCAGCTGGCACAGACTCCTGCCCCTGCAAGGGACCACAAGGGACAGCTCCCTCTCCCAGGGAGAATTTTGTACCATACAGCTTGGCTGGAGTCCACCGCCACTTCAATTAGCGCAAAAAATGAGCACAAAAACCCCCAGAACATCAGCCGAGCGCTCGGCAGACCGCAACCAGGGCACGAACGGAGACAGCCGGGGGAGCGCCTTAAACCTCACAGCTGGGGTAAATCCTTTCAATCCCCTCACAAAATCGTTTTCCTGTGCTCGTTTTGGCTGTTGGGGGCGATGGGGTTCCTGCGTTCAGCTCCTGGCAGGTACCGCAGCAGGAGGGTCCGGGCTCCCCTCCCGGCACACGCACTAACCCTCGCCGCGTTTTGGGCTTGTTTTCTTTAAACATTTATTTTGCAGTGTTCTTTGCTTCTTCTGCCATCGTGCGGCCAGCTGGAGGATAAAGCGCTGGCTGTAGAACAAGCTTTCCACGTCTTCCAAATACCGTATGGATTTTTACAATATCCGATGTCCTATGAAGTCGATGGAGAGACATTAATTCTCATCAAGCCCTTCCCACCGCCGGACGGGTACTACAGGTTTGTCTGTAGAGCCGCTACAGCTTGAACTAGGTCTCGTTAATCCAAGCGTGTAGGCTGGCAGCTCATTTACTGCCGGGGCACGACCTGCCCACTGACTTGCTGCTGCTCGCACCGGGCAGGAGCAGCCTGGAGAAGGCACTCGCTGCTGAGTGCCACCCGTTTCTGAGGCCACCCTGTCCCCTGACAGCCGTTCCAGGGCCATCTCCAGCCGGGGAAGTGAGTTCATGCCCAGGGCTGCTCAGTCCCAGCACTCTGGAGAGAGGCAGAGCTCTGCTGTGAGCCACAGGTACATCACAGCCTGCCAGGATCTCAGGGGAATGCCAAGGAAAGCTGACCCCATTTGTTTCCTTCACTTCTTCTGAGCGGGACAAATCCTTCACTGATTTGGTGAAACAGGTTTTATAAGAAAGGAGAGCATTTTTGTCAGCAGATTCCAACAGAAAATTCTTGTCTGTGCACACCTGAGACTCCCAAACCTACCCTGCCAGCACGGGGTGAGCAGCAGGCACAGGACCAGGAGCTCACTGTCTGAAAACAGCCAAAACACCCAAATTCTGTATCTGCTGGAGTCCTACCCATGGCCCGTAGCTGCTGACCCCTCTGGCAGCGCTCACTGCCCCTCAGCAGGGCAGGCTGCCAGCTCCATGCTCCCCTCGTGCCCATCTGCCCCAAAAACCAGGATCCGTGGGAGCGGCCAGCAAGGCTGGAGTGTGCTGGGTGCCCCGGGAGGGATTGCATCACCCTCGCAAACACCCTCGAGGGAGGGAGGGAGGGATGGAGGCCGGGGATGCCTGCAGAGGGGTGTGCATGCAGCCCTGCCTCCAGAGCAAGCTGCAGCCCCTGCAGCCCAGCCCGTTCCCCGGGCAGCAGCGCCTGGCCAGCGATGTGTGATGGGCACGCTGCCCGGCACCAGCTCCCCAAGCCCTGCCTCGCACCTGTGCCCAAAACAGCAGCTCTGGGTTTAGGACTCCCCTGCGATGCCATCACCTGCAGCAGGGACTTCCAGGGCAGCTCTCCTGGGGAAAGGAAGGGAGAGGCAGCTCAGAGCTGACCCAGCAGTGAGAGCACGCTGCAGCGTCCATCACACAACGGGACCTGCACACGCTTTCCTCCACCCCCCAGGTGCATTTTCAATCAGTTCATCACTCCACCTGCAGCTCTCTTGGCTGGAGCAGGGCACAGAGCTCAGGGGCTGGCTGCTGCAAGCCTCTGCAGCAATTGCACCTGCAACCTATGGACACAAGCCTGGTCCAAACAAATAAACACAGAAAGGCCCTGAACAATCACCCCCAAACCTGTCCTACAGCTGCACTGTGCGTGGCAGGTGGGGTGCAAGCTCCAGTAAGATGAGAGTTTGGGTAGCAAGCAAGAGTTATGCCAGCAGGTCAGTATTTGGGCTACAGTCTTGCTAAACTCAGCTGCACTGACATGTAAGTGCAGTTTAAGGTGAAAGTTCTCTCTCAGATGAGGCCTGAGCTCTGATTGTTGTAGCTGACTTCCAAAGGAAAAGTTCTGGTTAATAAATTGGCTCTTGGTCCCACATCCAGAGATATCCTGTGGCAGAAGCCCTAATTAATACACTGATAGTCTTTCTCAAGAGGCACTTGGTCCTTATAGTCTGAAATAACCTGTTCAAATGTGCAGCAACTTACAGAGTAGCAATTCATGAAAGAAAATACCAATTTTAGTTAATAAAATTCCCCTTTCTAAAAAGAAGGCTTTTTCTTTTTTGGTGGGGAAAACCCAGCAAATATATTTGGTACATGATGTGACAAATCTATACACCTCAGACTCCAGCACATTTCCTGGTGTCCCAAGACAAACACAGCTACTAAATAAATTTGATTATATCCTTCTTTCTTCTGCCAGTAACAAAGTCTCCAACAAGGCTCATTTAACCTAGAAAGGGAAAGTTTTCATAGTTTCTCATTTTCCAGTCCTTTGTCTTCTCCCTCCTTACAAATCATTAATAGCCTCCTTCATGACCACCAAAAGGAGCTTAGGGAGTTCCTGTCAATAATTCCAGCCTTGTTTTTTCAGCACACAGGACAGCAAACACTCCAGATCTCATTTTAAGTGTAACACAACAGAGGCTCAACAACAGAGAGCAAAACATCCAAAAGAAACTCTGTGCATGGCTGCTGATTCTCATTATTCAACATACTGAGAGCTGCCTGTAATCACATACATTACAATGCTTTGAATGATCTCTGAAACTCACCTGGACCCTGGTGGGCTCATCTAAAAAAAGCTGAGCCACTTCCCAACACTCACTTTTTCAGCTGGGAAACTTCCACAAGAGCACCTGGCACCCAGCCCACCCAAGTTAGTCAGAGGGTAGAACCTGCAAGCAGGAGAAAGTGTACATAGCAACCGGCTTCTCAAGTACAAAAAACCACCCACCCCAGGCTTTTATCAACCCTAACACCCATTGCAAGGTTTAAAATCCACTTACCTTCTTTACACGTGTTTGTTTAAGCCTGTACATGCTACGAGCAGCTTTCAGACAGCAGTGCAGCACGGGTCAGACCCACAGCAAAGCCAGGGAGCAGGGGCTGCTCACCTTCCCCCACAGCTGGGCCAAAAGATTTCTTTTTAATTAATTTTTATACCTTTTTCACAAAGCAGGGAGGGGAGAGCTCCATGTGAAAGCCCCTGACCAGCCCAAAGCCCAGGCTCTGTAGCCCAGGAATCCCCTCCCCTTTCTCTGGTGTTTATGTGCCCCAGGACAGCTGATGGGGTTTACAGATGGGTTGGTGGGGAACGAGAGTCACCTGCAGGCACCCCACAGGATGTGATCCGTTCCATTTGCCTTTCCAAACACCCATTAACCTGGATCACTTGCAATCAATTCCCTTTACTGCCCTAAATCAGTGTTCAAATTCCAGCATCTGAGATGCTCTCAAAAACCACTTGCTGGCTCCTTCTTCTACAAATTTGGCTTAATGAAGAACAAAGAACTGCCATGTTTTTCACACAGCACAAACCTCTGTCTCTTATCTAAGTTCTTTTCCTTTGTCAGGCCTGATTGCTAATGAGTTTGCCACCCCACACTCCCTGATGTGTGGAGCATCCCAGGAGCATGGGGCTGATTCCCAAAGAGTGTCTCCATCTGAATCCTGGAAATTATTATGAAATCCGCAATGGTTCCCACTCCCCCGGAAACTCTAATGTACATGGGCAACCCACACAGTTTAGTTTTTATTGAGAAAACACAGCAGTGGATGTAGAGCAGCAGAGCCATGGGGAACGTCCTGCCCTGCCCATATGTGTGGGGCAAATCAAGAGGAGATTTCAGAGCCAACATCACCCCCCATCCTCTTCTGGGAGGGGCATAAAGTGAAGTTGCTGGCTAAGCCCAGCCAGCGTGCAGAAAGTGAAATGCAGTGACATTGGAGGAAGCACAGCAGGACCGTGGTGGAAGTAGAGGGGCTGACAGCCCCAGCTGGACCCATCTTCCAGGCTGTCCTGCAGGCCCTGTGCTGCCTGGGAGGGCTGGTGTGTCTGTGCACAGGAGGGCTTGGCAGGGTTTGAACGCTGACCAAGCAGAGCTCTTCACCAGGGAGCAGCAGCCTCACTACTCAACTTCAGCACACGCCTTTAAATCCTGAGAGTGATAACAGCCACCAGAAAACAATCCAGTTGTGCAAAGCAACCTTGGTATGAGGAGGTGGGAGGTGTATTCCCACAGGCACTTGCTGAAACAGCTCTTCAGCTTCTTCTGGCAGCACACATACACCATGAACTTTGGCAGAGCTCAGCCAGGTCCCTCCCTCCCTCCATCTCTGGCTGTCTCCATCCTTCAGGCTCAGAAGGACCCAGGCTGTGCAGAGAGCTGCTGCTGGCCTTGCTGGCAGACGTGGGTCTGGGAGAGAGCAGCACCAAGAGCTGCAGAAATGCAGAACTCACACACCACTTTACAACAAGGCAGCCACAGCCCAGGCTGAGGCACCACGACAGTGCTGCTGGGACCAGGCACAATGTTTTACCTACCCTGACACTCCTGAGTCAGCTCCTCTGGAAACTGCAAGGGAAGGATATGCTAGATAACATCCAAGTGCTGACATGCAAAGCAGGGCTGTGTCACCCAGCTGGCTCCCTGTAGAAAGCTGTTGATGTTATGCACAAGAAAGTCTCTGCAGAGCAGCTGCTGAGGCACTGCTTCCTGCTTCCAGCACATTTGGAGCCCCAGCATTTTCCAACAAATCCGAAATTCATGGGAGGGTACCCCTCACCACCATCTCAATTTGGCCCCCACTTTCCCCTGTACCCACAGCACCCACATCCCAGGGAACTCCACCAGACTGAGACAAGGGTTACAGAAAGTGCTGTATTTACAGGGCAGGATGAACTTCTGCTGCTGTTATTTCCAGTTTATTTACAAATAATCCTTGTAGTCCCCAGCAGCTGAATACAGCAGAGTTAGACAGAGCTTTGTGGCAGGCTGGCAAGGCAGAGCAGCCAGTTCCTCTTGTTTTCCCTTCCAGCCCTGCCAAGGGAAGGGCACCCCCGATTTGCCTTCCCCGGGCCGCAGAGGCAGTGCCAGGGAGCAGAGTTAATCAGTGACACGGGAGCAGAGGTGACCAACGCACACCGCGGGCTCCAGCGCTGCTCTCTGCAGGCGACACGAGGAAAGCTCCCGGACTTCAGCTGAAGTGTTCCCAGGCTGGGGGCAGCTTGGCCAGCCAGGCACCCCCAGAGCCCGCTGGCACGGCTCTGGCACACACGGTGTGACACACAGGATGGGCTGGGATGGGTGTGCTGCTGCCCTGGCACACGGTGTGACACAGGAGTGGCCCTGGCACACGGTGTGACACAGCAGTGCTGCTGCTGTCCTGGCACACACGGTGTGACACAGGAGTGGCCCTGGCACACACGGTGTGACACAGGAGTGGCCCTGGCACACACAGTGTGACACAGGAGTGCTGCTGCTGCCCTGGCACACACGGTGTGACACAGGCTGAGCTCGGATTGCTGTGCTGCTGCTCCTCCCGTCTCACAGCAGGGACCACCTGGGGCAGAGGGGCCCAGGCTGCCAGCGACAGTGACCCTCCTGGAAGGATGGCAGGGTCAGGAGGAACGCTCCTGTGGATGGAGCCTCTGCCACCAGCTGCCTTTGAACTGAAATGTTCACTGATGGGCTGCACAAACACGGGCATCACCTTCCTGCGGTGTGTGAAGCGGGTCCTGACAGCCCTGGCAGATGTGGAGCTCCTCTGCAGACCCCCTGGGGCTGCCCTCCCTCCTTCACCAGCAGGGAACGAGGCCGTTCCAGGCAGCAGCAGGGAGTGCCGGGCCAGGTCAGCGCTGACCTGCGAAGACAGCTTTCCGCGGGCACAGCTCAATTCAAGAGACCAGCTTTCCCCCTGCTGTTTGCTCGATCTTCCTCTCCCCCACAGACTCATCCGGGTTTACACGGAGTCTTCCACGGAATACTAACAGGGGGCGGCAAGGGGCCGCCCGTTCCCTTTTCACTCGGGTTTGCAGCCCGGCTGCCAGAGAGGCGTCTTACAAAGGGACTTTTGGCTCGCCCCTGTGGATCCCTGGTTTTCCAGCCACGCAGGGCACAAAGATGCTGTTTATGCCCCAGGATCCGTTTCCCAGCTCTGCCAGCCCTGGCCAAGCACCGGCAGCTCTGCAGGAGCGAGGGGCCCGCCGCCACTGCAGCCTGGCTGCTCCGGGACCGCAGCGCCGTTCTCAGGGGGCGATGGCCGATGGCTGCTTCCTCTGCTCCTGCCTCATCTTCAGAGCCAGCATCGCCCGGCGGTACAGATCTGGGGACAGGGGAGCACTCAGGCACTGACTGGGGCCAGCTCCAGGGCCCAGCTGGCAGCCTGTGCTGAGTGAGGGCTGCAGGGACAGCCCAGCCTCCAGCAGTCACTCGTGTGGCCTCCCTGCATCCCACCCCACCTGCCTCCATCCACAGCAGCCCCCAGCCAGCCCTGCAGCAGCAGCTGCCTGTGCCCCTGTCCCCACACCAAGCCCCCATGGCCAAGTGTCCCTGCACAGCTCACGGCCCCCTGATGCTTTCAGCAAAATCTGTCCTGAGAAATACCAACCAAAGGTGCTTGAGACCTCCTCACGCTGCTGCTCCAGAGAAGGTTCCCGGGACTTGATTTTATTCTTGATTTTCTTCTTTTTTTTCTTTTTCATACCCTGTGCTGAATGGAGAAATACAAAATTTCAGGCACCACACACCAGAGCAAGGGTGCCTTTGTCACCAAACCAGCTGAGAGGACTGCTCGTGTGCAGTCCTCCACTGCTGCCGTGCACCGTGCCCTGTGGAGATGCTCAGATGTGTCTCCTCTTCCCCTCTGGGCTCCTGTGACCTGGCTCTGCACTCAGCAGATCTGCAAGCAGAGCTGATGGAGGTGGCGGGCACCGGTGCTCCAATGTTTGGTCACATTTCCATGCCTGGCCACCTCCCTGCGGGGTGGCTCTGGGGGTCCTGCAGAGCTGGCAGCCCCCCACAGTCCCCTCTCACCTGGGAGGGGGGTGGCCATCCCGATGGGTACGGGCTCCTCCTGCCCGACCCTGTTGGGGAGCAGCAGCCCCCCTGCAGCCCCTACTCCCGGCCCCTCCGGCTCCTCGGCTGGGCTTGCCTGCCCCAAGCCCTTCTTCTTCACCTTCACCTTCCTCTTCCTCCTCCTGGGGCCCTTGGCGCTCTCCTCCTGGGCAGGGAAAGGGGGATGAGGAGAGGGTGGCAGAGCCCCTCTCCACCCGGTCGCGTCCCGGGGTGCCCCTCACTCACTGACCAGGGGCAGGAGGCGGCAGACGGGGCGCAGCGCCCGGGGCTCCCCGTTCTTCCCCGCGCCCTCCCGAGCATCTCCCCCGGGGGGCGGCCGGTCCCTGCGGGAGGGAGCACAGCGGGGGTGAGGACGAGCGCCGCGGGGGCAGCAAGGGGACGGGGGCACGCTGACGGAGCCCCGCACCCACCTGCGGGCGGCCCTCGGGGCGGGGTCCGGCGGGGCCGGGGCGGCGGCGGCGCGGAGCAGCCAGCGCAGCCCCTGCACGGTGCTGCGGGCCGGGCCCGCGGGGGGCACCCGCCGGGCGACACAGGGCTCCTGCGGGCCGGAGGGAGGGATCAGCGCGGGGGGCGCGCCCAGTGGGGACACGGAGCGGGAAGGGGAGCGGGGAACGGGAGAGGGAATGGGAACGGGAGCGGGAATGGGAACGGGAGAGGGAGCGGGAACGGGAGCGGGGAGGGGGGAGCGGGAAACGGAGAACGGGAGCGGGGAACGGGAGAGGGAGCGGGAACGGGAGCGGGGAGGGGGGAGCGGGAAACGGAGAACGGGAGCGGGGAACGGGAACGGGAGCGAGGAACGGGAGCGGGAGCGGGGAACGGGAAACGGAGAACGGGAGCGGGGAACGGGAGAGGGAGCGGGAACGGGAGAGGGAACGGGGAACGGGGAGCGAGGAACGGGAGCGGGAGCGGGGAACGGGAACGGGGAACGGGGAACGGGAGCGGGAGAGGGAATGGGAATGGGAATGGAAATGGGAGCGGGAACGGGAACGGGGAACGGGAGTGGGAGCGGGAGCGAGAGAGGGGAGCGGGAACGGGGAACGGGGAACGAGAGCCGAGAACGGGAGCGGGGAACGGGGAACGGGAGCGGGAGCGGGAGCGGAGCCGGCCCCGCACTCACGATGCGGCACGGAGAGCGGTTCTCGTTGACCAGCCGCTCCAGGCTCAGCCGCTCGATCAGCTCGCAGGGCAGCAGCGCCGCCGCCGCGTCTTGCTTGTTGGCCAGCCTGGGGCACGGAGGGGCGGCCGTCACCGCCAGCGCGGCCCCCGTGCCTCAGGGACGCTGTGTGCCTGAGGCTGGGTGAAGCATTGCCCCAGCCTCACCTGGCACCCGAGCCCCCTCCTCACCTCCTCCCCACGGGTGTTCCGATCTCCCAAGCACTGCTGGGGTCATGTCCCCGCACCCCCGACAGGTCCCGGGGCACCCCATCCCCTCATCAGCCCACACCCCCTGCCGCGGGGTCCCACTCCACCCCCAATTCGCAGCTTGCATCCCAATCTTACAGCAAGAGCGGCTTCCCGGAGGCGTCAGGGTGGCTCAGGACGCGGCTCAGGAGCTTGCGGGCCTCCTCCATCCGTGCCAGGTCACCGGAGTCCAGGACGAAGAGCAGCCCGTGCGCCTGGCTGTAGTGGCCGCGCCCGGCGCCGCGGGAGCGCGGTCCCCCGGGCAGCTCCAGCAGCGTCACCTCGAAGCTGTCCACCCGCAGGCGGCTCTGGCCCGGCTGCGCAGCGGGCAGCACCTCCGCGGCCAGCGCTGCGAGAGCGCAGAGAGCTGCCACAGGGCCCAGGAGCATCCCCGTGCCCCTCTGCCCCAGCCCGGGGCACGGCCGTGCCCTGCGCGCCTCCCCGGGCAGCGCCGGGGCTCAGCAGCCTCGCTCCTTCGGCTCCGGAGGACACAGAGCTGCTGCCGCCCTCCCTGCGCCGTGCTGCTCCTCACCTCTCTCCATGTCCGCGATCACGGAGGTTTTCCCTGCGTTGTCCAGCCCCATGACAAGGAGGGTCACTTTCCTGGGGAGCAACAACAGCAGGTGAGCACCCCAGGAAAGGCTGTGCTCCCTGGGGAGCACCGTGGCCCCCGGGCAAGGCAAAGGAGCCTGCCCACGGCAGCTGCATTTCAGCCAGGACAGAGGCAGGACAGTGACACAGGCTCTGTCTCAGCTGGGGACAAATGACACAGAGAGGCAGGACAGTGACACAGGCTTTGTTTCAGCTGGGGACAAGCACAGGGACAATCCCTGGTGCAAGGCAGAGGGTGAGGACAGGCACAGGTGCCTGGAGCCACCCCAACGCCACGGGACAGCCACACTGCAGAGCCTCCAAGGTGCTTCCTATGGCAAGGATTTATTTCCAAAAATAGGATTAAGCAATTATATGCACAGGCCAGCATGATTCTTCTTTATATGCAGTCAATGATTACATGTTCCTTGCAGTAAAATCTGAGTATACACAGGTAGGGAAAGTTGCAAGAATGATTTCATGAGCTTCTGCCTGGACTCGGTGTTTTTCCTGTTGCTGAACAGTCCTGTCCACTTTCCAGCAACATGATCCACCAGAGCCACACAGGCAACATTTTCTCTGCCACTGACAAGCCACTGCAGTTATCTGCAATGCTATTTTCTTCCCTAAACGCATAGACCAGGCTGCATGGCAGCGGAGGTGGCACGGCTCCACCTCCAGAATGACAGCAGGTAAGGTAAGGTGTCCTCTCTGGAGGGAGAGGACCATAAACCCCCTTGCAGTGCTGTCCCAGGGAATTATCCTGCATGTCCTGACACATGCAAACAAGGCAGGGGTTTCAGTGCATCCTCCCCAGCTTTTCTGGGGAGCTGCTGACTCTGCAGGGCTGAAGTCCCCGTGGAACCATCCCTGCACTGCACCCCTGCCATCCTGTGTCCCTGGCTGCCAGCCCCTGCCTGCTGCAGGGCAGCAGGGACACCCGTGTGCCCTGCTTAGCAGTCTGGGGACAGCTCCTGCACGGGCACCTGCCTTTCCCTGCACCACACTGGTGACACATAAACACACAGGTAAATATTGCCACCCCTGGGAGCCCCGGGAGTGGGCACAGGGACCTACCTGGTGGGCTCCTGAATGGCCTGCAGCCAGGACCAGCAGTGGGAGAAGAGGTGGAACATGGTCTGCAGCCCTGTGCAGAGGGGTGGCCTCTCTCCAGCAGCTACGAAGCGAGCAGCCCAGCACAGTGTCCCTGTGCCTCATCCTCCTGCCTGGGCTGTCTCTTCACGGCAGGGACCATCTCATCCCAGGTGCCCTGTCCCACAGCACAGCACCGCTGCCTTCTGTCTGGTGTGCACAAGCCGAGCCTGGAGAGAAATCCGTCCTGGGCAACACCCCATGGGCACAGGCCCTGCTCTCACTGCCCCTCACACCAGGGGTGCCAGGCAGCCTCTCTCACCTGCTCACCCCCTGCACAGCCTCTGCTCACATGCCCTCTGCGTAGCAGCTGCTTAAACCTAATCTGGATTTCAATTACTTACTCCTGCAGGCTCCCTAATCCTGGTGGGTCGGGCCAGGCCAGTGGCTGTGCTGGGAGTGCTGCCACGCTGGGTGGCACGGCACTGACCCTGCACCCCAGTGCAGCCTCCTGTCCCCATCGCTGCTGGACGTGCCTTGTGCTGGGGACACTGCCATGTGGGCTGAGTTAGGGGCTCCTCTGAGGAGCAGCATCTGTGCCTTCCCCCTGCCTGATCCCTGAGGTGTTTCTCTGCAGCCCCTGCAAGGAGCATCCCCTCCACGTGTGCACGGCTCTGCTGCTCAGCCAGGGTCCCCCTGAGCCGGGCTGGGGGACATCACTGCTCCCTGCTTGTGTTTTGTGCCCTAGCAAGGGCACTGGGTGGCAGCAGGTCCTGTGCTCCTGAAAACAGCAACCAGCCCCAGCAGGAGCCTGCCTGGGAGCAGGAAAGTGGTGGAGACCCTCAGACCACAGGGCACAGAGTGGAGGAAAAAAGCACCAGCTCCTCGATCTTCAGCTCTGAAGCTCTTATCTTGCTTCTCAGGTTTCCTGCTTCTTTTCCCAGCCAGAGCTGCCCTCCCTGGCTTGCTGCCACTGATGTGTGTGAGGTCACACAGGGATGTCTGAGCTGCAGGAGCTCTGGGTGGGGGAAGTGGAGTCCAGAGGGACAAAGATCCTCCAAAAGCCATGCCCAGGAGCAAACAGGGAGCCTGCTGCCTCACATCAGTCCGTGCTAAACCACCCAGCACCAGCAGCACCACCTCGACCAGCTGAGCACCAGCCACGAGTGCTGAGACACAGCCCTGGCCCCAGGGGTGCAAGCCCAGGATGGGCACGGCCCCAGGCCCTTCTCCCCAGCCCCAGGTCCTTCTCCCCAGCCCCAGACTCTTCTCCCCAGCCCCAGACCCTTCTCCCCAGCCCCAGGTCCTTCTCCCTAGCCCCAGACCCTTCTCCCCAGCCCCAGGTCCTTCTTCCCAGCCCCAGACCCTTCTCCCCAGCCCCAGACTCTTCTCCCCAGCCCCACATACTGCTGGGAACACAGCACCTGTCCTGGGTGAGGGAGGTGCCCAGCTCCATGCCATGGGCACGCAGCCATGCACGGTTAATGGTTGATGAAGTTGCTGATCTGATACCACAGCCAGATGCCATATTTGGGGTGACTGGTCACCCCTGTGCTGGGCGGTGGCAGCACCTCCCTGTCCCCATTCTGGTGGCCTTTCCTGGTTTGCCTGTGCCTGTGCCAGCAGCCTGCGGAGAGCAGTGACCATGGCAGGCTCACACACAGCTGAGGCTGTGGTTTTGCAGAATTGTTTTTTGCAGAATTATCTGTCTGAGGGCTGAAATTATTTGCTCCAAGTGTCAGCCCTTGCCTCTGTGTTGAGGGGTGGCACTGCCAGGGGACAGCCCAGCAGGGACAGGAGTGTGCTATAACATGACCACAGGTGCTATAAATAGGGAAGGGCCATGTGTCAGGCAGCCTGGAGGCAGCAGCTCAGCTTCCTGAGGGGCAGCAGGATCTGATTTCCCTCTGGCACCAATGGATTTCCAGTCATCTCTGAACACTTGGGCTGCCACTGCTTTTAAAACAAGTGTCCAAAATCCCTGGTCAGACCGGAGCTGAGGACAGGGAAACCCCCCAGGAGCCTGAGGCAGCTCCAGCTCACACCTCCCAATGCACACACAGCGACCAACAGCCAGGAAAACCTCAAAATCCACCCCAAAGCTGCTGGAACCCACACTCAGCCCCAGGGAAGTGGCACCAGGACCAAGCCCACGTGGGTGTGAGCTCTGCTGGGCCTGTGCTGGGGTTACGAGTGGGCAGCTGGCCCTGTGCCCACGCAGCCACCGGCAGGTGCAGCCCCACAGCCTCTGCCAGGGCCAGCGGGCACCCCCGGGCGGTGCCAGCGGGGACCCGCAGCAGCCACGCTCGTTTCCTTGGTGACTGTTGCCAGGTGAGAAACTCCAAGGCAGAATTTATTATCTTGGCAGATAAATGAAGATGTTCCTCACCAGAGCCGTGAGCAGCCCGTGCCCGGGCAGGGCGCCGGGCTGGACCCTCTAGTGCTGCCAGTGCCAGCAGGAGCCCCCGAGGGAGGGCAGTGCCCGGGGCTGCCCGGCCCTGGCATCGCTCGGCACTTGCTTTGGGGCTATTTCTGCCCGCCGCAGAGCCGCAGGAGAGGGAATGAGGCGACAGCACAGGGACCACGGAGAGGCGCAGACGGCCGCGGGCTGCCCTGCCTTGGCTGCACTAGACCCCAACGTGAGTACGGGCACGTGGGGACCCCAGCGGCACCCCGGGCTAGCAGCAGAGCTGGGGGGATGGCTGGGGAGCTTGGACGGGGGTTTGCAAGGGAACACAGCGGGCACAGCAATAGGGGCTGCCTGCAGAGCCTTGAGCTGAGGTGACACCAGAGCCGAGGTGATGGCAGAGACCAGAAAGTCCTGGCAGAAATATTAGCAAGCTGTTCTGCTTTGCTTGGAACCACATCGCGAAAAGGGACCTGTGGTGGCACACAGGCTTTGAGGAGAGACTCATCTCTCTGTTCCATGTGTCATATGACAGCGCTCGGAGCTGGTAGGAATGCAAACAGCCACATTGTCCCTTTAAATCCCAGCACAGCGCTGCTGGCTGACGATAACCCCGGATCACACCAGCTCCCAAATCCCCAGAGCTAATTACAGGCAAAGGCCCCGCAGTCAGGCTGGGAACACAGGACATTTACAGCCTGTGACACCGAGACCTGTAGGTGAGGAACTGGGGCACCCGCAGGTTCGCTGGCGTGGCACTGGGGAGAGTGGGTGGTTTGCACCCCACTGCCATGCAAACACTGTGGGCAACCACTCCCCGAGCCCTTTTGGGTAAGGGAGGTGGTTTTTCCAGAGTGTTCCTTGCTCCCCCATCACTCTGTGTCAGGGGCAGGAAGCATGCAGGGAGCTGTTTGCTTTTCACCCAGTTCCTGGCAGGGAGCTTCCCAGCCAAAGCATACACAAATTTCTAGGAGAGGCTTGCACCTGAGCTCCCTGCTGCAGGACAAGCTGCCTCCTTGGTCCTTGCCCTGTGCCCACAGCTCTGGGATGCCCCTGCGATGGCCAAGCCCCACCCAGGCTGCTCACTGGTTTTGTTGAGATCATTCTGGTGCTCCTGCTGCTTTCCTGCGAGGGGGAGAGGAGAGTATCTGTTCCTCCTGCCTGCCAGGATGCCCAGGGCACAGGCAGGCACAGCCTGGCTGGGCCAGCACTGTGCCAGGGCTGTATACTCTTACAGCAGGGACCAGGGGAGTCAGTTAATTAAAGGTAATTTTAACCCTTCCTGCCTGGTTTAGTGTTACAGCATCACCCACTGCCTGTGCTGGGACTGTAGCCAAGGAGGCATGACTTCAAAATGTGTATTTATCACAAAGATCTATGAATGCACCCAAAGGTAACTCTGCTTTCTTGTTCAAGAATTGAAGCGTGAGGCGGCTGACGTGGCCTGTGCTGTGCCTGCAAGCATCCTGGCTCTGGAGCACTGAGCCCCTGCCCCGATCCAGTGGGCTCAGCACAGCCTCCAGGCAGGTTTAGAGGGATGAGGTGCCCAGCACAGACACCAGATTCTCTCCCAGCAGGGTCAGAGTGAGGCTGGATGAGGAACTGGAGTGGTGAAAGCAGTCGCATGATGGAGCAAATGGAATAAATATTTCCCCAGCCAGAAACTATTCCACGGACTGCTGGGGCAGGGAAAAACACAGCTGAGTTACTGCGACAGCAAGGCAAAATCCAAACAGTTTAGGCGGTGGAAACCAGTCATTTGCAAAGCTATTTCCAAAGTAAGTCAAAAATTCCCAGCTCACAGATTCCTGGGAACCTCCCAGCCCTGCCAGGAGGGCAGCATGGCTGCACTGAGAGGACAAAACTGTGTCCTATTCCCACATCCCCATCCAGCTGGGGGACACTGATTGCCACTTCCCCCAGCACAGGGGGTGTTTTGCCAAGCCACATGCCCACCCTGGGCACCGGCTGGGTGTTTCATGCCCAGGCTGTGCCCCTGAGGAGCTCCCAGGCTGAGGGATCCAGGATCAGCCTGGCCATGCCCACCCCAGCTGCTGCCTCCACCTCTGTGTGCAGGGCTATATTTGGGAAGGCAGCAGAGTGCTCGGCGTGTCCCAACGAGCACCCTGGGAGTGGTGGCTGCTCTGGGTCCTAGAGAGGAGAGCTGGGGGAGCACGCTGGCAGCTCTCCCCACCTGGGCTCTTTAAGAGCCTGGCTCGGAGCTCTCCGTCTCTTCCAAAACAATTTTCTCTTCTCCTTTTACAGGAGCTGAGCCGCCAGGCAGGCATGTGTAAAGCAGACAGGGTTATTTTGAGCCTGAGAGCCGGTGAGGAAGCTTGCTCCCACCCCACAAACAGCCCAGGCTCCCACACACAAACGCCCTGGCACATCCAGGGGGCTGGGAAAGCTGCACAGCAAACCCTGTGGCTTCACACAGTGGGCAGCCACCACCACCACTGCCCTTTGTCAAAGTGTGCTCTGTGAACACTGGGATTAAAGAAAAAAGGATGGAGGCTGGGATTAAGAAATTAATGAAGCTGGGATGCTGTCCAAGGCAGGGCTGGCACTTGTGGAGACAGGAAAACTGACATTTGCACGTGGTAGTGAAATTCAGGCTGGTGCCTTGGGCATCCCCAGTGATCCTCGTGGGTCCCTTCCAGAGCAGGAGATCTGTGATTCTGTGATCCTGTGATTCTGTGATTCCATGACTCTGGGATTCTGGGATTCTGTGATTCCGTGATTCTGTGATTCCGTGATTCTGTGATTCTGTGATTCCAGGTCACTTCACATCCCCCAGCCCAGGGGCTGTTCTGCCTCTGGGAGGTTCCAGGGTGAGGCCAGCCAGCAGCCAGCAGCTGTGCTGCTCCAGAACGCAGCCACTGTAGAGAGGGGACACCTGGGCAGATGTCCCCAGCGTGTGGCCCGGCCCCGCTGGCCTGTGGCCGCTCTGGCTCAGGCAGTTTCTCTCTCTGTGGCAGTGGTGTCCCAGGGTGTCTGTGCAGCCCCAGCTGTGCTGGGCTCGCAGGCAGAGGTGTGGGCGTGGGTTGGCAGCACAGGGAGTGGCAGTGGGGCAGGAGCTGTGGCTGATGCTACCTGTGACCCACATCACTTTTATGGTCTGTCTGCTGTTTACAGCGCAGCAGCCAGGTGAGGTCAGGCTGTAGAGGTGACTCACAGCGTGAGCAGCTCCTGCTGCTCCGTGCTTGGGACAGAAAATGAGCGCAGCAGCCAGGTGAGGTCAGGCTGTAGAGGTGACTCACAGCGTGAGCTGCTCCATGCTTGGGACAGAAAATAGGATAATAACTGGTGTGGGAAATGCTGTGAGCCTTTGTCTCTCCATTCCTCTCGATGGCTGCTGGGGCTTACGGATACAGGACTGGAATTCTTGCTTGCTTAAACAGTTGCTCTTAAGTATTTCATCACGAAGCAGGGGAAGCTGAAATTAAAAATATGATGAGTCGAAGCCCAGGCATTGCTCAGCCGAGGGCTTGGTGACCTGCCAGACTCCTGGGGAATGCTTTTAATTTGGATAAGTGTAAGCTGCATAAATGGCACAAGCGGCACGCTGCTCTCGCTGCTCACACAGAGCCGTGGGTGCAGCTGGCAGTGCCACAGGCTGTGCTGTCGCTGGCTGAGCACCCAGCCAGGCACGGCTGCTCCTGTGCACAGCTCCCACCCCATCTCCAGTCGGCCGGGACACTGCTGCCTTCACCCTCTGCCCTGCCAGAGGTTTTTTTTTGGAGAGGCTGTTTTCCAAAAGCAGCTCGAAAGTATGTGACTGTCATACCAGAGCTGAGTGGTCACACACAGACCTCCCGTCGCCGCCAGTCAGGCCAGTCCCCC